GCCTCCTATTTTATCTTTGAGAGAATCAGCAACAGTCGCTCTGTTCTGTGCAAAAGGTGACACTGAGGTGGATCCATGGAGCCCGGGTCAGACAAAGTTATCAGTCTCCCTGCCCTAGCTCCCATGGCACTACGTGGCACATGGGGGTCAGGGTCAATCACGAGCATAATGCTCGGTTTCTCTGGCTCATGACACGCTCAGATTGGTTTGTGGAAGGGAGTGAATGAGCTGAACAAGGGACCGGGCTAATTCTTACCCCTGTGATGGAAAGCGCGAGAGGAAATTAATGTTCTGTGGAGATAGTCAGGGGCGGGGGGGGGAACACAGGCATTAAGAGGTTTGGAGGTTATATCTGCCTCATTTTGTCCATGTAATGAGAACAACTTTATGTAAGAAGGGGCTATGCAGTGTTAAGACTGACAGAAAGTCTTGTATAGTTTTTGATTTTCTTTGAACTTTGGAAATCCTTTAGGATGTTGTAGATATATATATATATGTACAATCATGGTTCAAACGACCTTCTGTTGTGACAGTGTTTAATTGTCTTCTGACTGCGAATATGTCATATTTATGCTCAAATCTTTCATCACTCAAATTAAATCCCAACATCCTGGGACTGACTGACAGTAATGGCGCCTTTTTAAAAAAGCTCCACAGAAGCTTCAGTTGTTGTTGCAGCAGAGTTACCTGTGCTCGTTGTTTAGCGAGGTCACACTTGACTCCGCTGTTAACAGAGCGACAGACCATTAAGGCTTGATTGCCATCAGCACGTGCCCTAAAGTGAGCCTTCGCCAGAAGCAGGGGGCAGCATTCATCCCAGGTGGGACGTGTTCATTTCTCTTTAGCTCATTGTCCTTTAGGTAACGAGGGTCACACGAAGTCGCGCATGGGCAAAGAAACAGCTCGTATCCATGATGCTCTGTCTGCGGATCATTTGGTGATGATGGAGCACGTGACAGTAAAGGGCAATCAGGCCTTGAATCATTGCTAATGTAATGCACTACGTGAAAGCCCGCTTCCTATAAGGTGCCGTATCCATTACTTGCAAATTTGACTGGGACGCGCATATTTAAACCTGAAGCATGAGGCATTATAAATGAAGGATTTGCTGAAATGCTTACATTTAAAACTGCTATTCAATCATATGAAAGACTAAATAAACAAAATAGGTGTTTACATTTATAAAACTGAATCACAGCTGGCTTATTAGACAGCATTGTGTTTAATGTGCAGCCCAGAAGTTCAAATGATCCCCTCTAGCTTCTTTGATGTTCTCCACTGCAGTAATGATTGTCATGGCAGAGACTTCAGTACTTGTTATCTGCCACGTGGCTGGGGTAAGCCCCACTCAACGGAATGCATTATGTAAGATCTGAAATAAAAAGGCAATAGGTACATCCCTCTCGGGATGTGGGAGCACTGCCAGGATGAATCATAGCTTATAGCCAAAGCAGAGCACATTAGCTAGTGCCCCATCTAACCAGAGTGCACACACAGACATGGAGAAAAGGCTGGTGGATCTTTGAATGGCTGATGAGCCGTGTGGAAATGAGCCCAGGTTGAGTTTATCGGAGCCAGATAAAGGGGCAGCATCTCTTATTTTGACCTCTATGTTTGCTTGCGAAGCAGAACTGCCTGTTTTCTTATTGGCTGCTCATGCTTTACACCATAAGACTAATTGGATATGTTTTATGGTCAGAAAATAAAAGTTCAGATTTACTGTATGAAGACAGCTTATGATGCTTTTTATCCCAGGAATGCATAAGCATGACACAATGGTTAAACAGGAATTTGGAAGTGGAAAATGAGAGATTATGCTTTTACTTAGTCAACTTTAAAAAACAAAAACCAAAACAGTTTGATCGCTGTGAAAAATGAAAATAAAAACAAAATTCAGTGATTTTGAAGTATTTTAAACTGCGTCTTTATGTGAAATTAATACAAAGACAAAATATTAAATGTTGAAATTAAAACATTTTATAGTTCAAATCTTAAGATTTGAGTCTGTCAACACAAGACAATATTTGGAATACGGGAATTTTTAAGGCTGGGAATAAGACATTATCCTATTATGCCTTGAAAAGGGATTTCATCTCCTCAACAGTGTTTTGTAGGTCTGTCCCCGGTCAGACCCCAGACTGTCTTATCACAGCGCTGTGATTGAACGTGTGCAAAATGAGATTTGTTGTTGTTTTGCTGAAATAAGCAATGCTTTCCCTGGGGGAAAAAAGAGTTGTCTGGTTGTGTTGCTTTGTGTTGTGTTGCTTCAAAATCTTTTTGTGCCACTCAACATTAATGGTTCCTTCATTGATAACTTGAGCTTCAGTTAAGTTATCTATGCCATTAACACAGTCGTGAATGGCTTAATCAAGAATTGAGCTGCCGTTTGGGGAAGACCTCGATGGGGACTGGAGGCGGCTCCCGGGCCTGGCAGATCCCCATGTACTAATGAGAAGTGAAGAAGTGAAGGGAGTGGAAAACAAGGAGAGAGCTGTTTGTTCTAATTTTTGGGGCACAAAAATTAGAACAAACAGCTTGGGGGGGAGCATATATAAAAGAAAAGACCCAGAGGGGGCGTGTTTGAAGGCGTGGTCCTCCAAGTGTTCTGATAAGACTGATGCTCTCTCCGCTTTAGCTCGAAAAAGAATGTAAACAAATTCAAACCTAGTTTCACCTAAATGTAAATGAGCTCCTACACTGGACCATTTTTCTGATCTTTTTTTATATCTGATTTTCTTCCCACACAAGAGTTTTAACTTCCATTTTTTGATGAATAGATGAATTGGGTAGTGATCGCGTGTGTTTTTGGAAGTGTTTCTGTGCCCATGCAGTGATGTCCACTACAGAGTTATAACTGCTTTTAACACACTGTCTGAGTGCCTGAAGATCACTGCCGCTCATTGTAGATATTCAGCTTTGTTCCCCATGTGTAGAGATTTTCTAAATCTATTAATGTTATTTTGTAAAAGGTTCATGAAATGACCATATATTAAAAAAAATCTGCTACAGCTGGATATCACAATATCTGACCTATTTTATGGTGGTTTTCCATTCTTCCCACATTTTTTTAATGAATTCAATTGAACTGTATTGATGTTTTCTGCAGTCTTTCTATGTAAACGTCTACACTGATGCTGCTGCTACTTTAAAAGCTGCCTAACATGAATTTGTGTTTAGTTAAGAGGGCATAAACGGTCCAGGGGGACTGATCTGTTTACTGGTAAAAATACATTTAAAGGCAGAAAAATGGCTTTTTTTTTAATGTTCCTTTATTATTAGTCACATTTCAATTACCTCTAAGATAGTGACAGTTTGAAGGACTGCTTATAGTTTAATCCTTATCTAATACTTATAATGTCAACCTCCCTCGTAAAATTAAACTCTTGCTGACATAAATAAAGGGAAGAACTGAGCCTCCGATTTTGACGTGTTGTCCAGTCAATCTTCAAATGGCTTCATCAGGACATATTTCAGAGTCAGTCATGGGAAGTCTAAATGTTCTCCTCTGCTTGTAAATTGCTTGCTATCGAGCTTTTAAGCAGTGCTGTGCTGCTTTTATTTCCGCTGCAGCACCGTGCATCCCTGTATTACCTGCGAATGCCTTTTCCCTCTTGTTTCACTCTCAATCCTCTTCTTTCTGAGACTCTCTTCTCTCATACATGATGTCATGCGGGAGCAGTGATTTGATGTGATCTTAAGTCTTTCGCTTCAATCCACTTCTCTATTTAGTTTTGCCACAGCAGTCTGAAGTGGTTATGTGTGTAAGCGGGCCTGGCTAGCTCCTGCGTCTTTTCCTCCACAATTCAGATCCCCTTGACTGTAGGACCTCTTAGCGCCCCTTTCCTTACTGTAGGTACCCTCTGTGTTATTACTCGCAGATCCAGAGGCTGTGAAATGGCAGTGAGACCAGATGGGACACGGCACCGCTCTAAGGTTAATATAATCACTGGCCCAACCTTGAGCCTTTTCAGTTTCAAGCGGACATCACTTTATCCGCCTCAAAGTGTAATGTGCACCAACAGTGGGTGTTTACTGGTTTCTGCAGACATCTGAACAAGACAAGAGTGACACACAAAAACCCGCTGAAAATCTACCTTGCGTTTCCCCCTCGTTATGTGTGTGTGTCTGTTTAAAATAAATACCGTGTCACAGCAGATAATTATGACAAGATGGGCAAATATTGGCTTTCATACTAATGAATTCATCTGTAACTGAGAACATCTATTTGTCATGAATATGTCACCAGGTTTATGAACAGCATATTGCCAATTTGAAGGATGATATGAGCCCGGCAAGCCAGTAAATCCAATAAGTTTTCATTTACATTTGTTTAGTGTCTGACGCTCATGTGGGATCTATTTCCTAATGTGCTTGCTTTTAGCTTGTGTGTGAATGTTAACGTAGGTACTAGTATTCAAGTCTTTTATATCACCTAGAATGACAGAAATTGAGTGTGGATGCTTGTACTGATTGATTTAAGGAAGAACTGCATCTCACTTTTGGTTTTGTCTGGAAAGTGCTGGAATTTTCTCAAAAATTTGGAAGAGCAGTGATGAGTTTAATGCGTTACTTTCAAGACCGGTTTTTAACAAGCTGCAGAAAAAGCTTTTGGCCCAGATGAAATAAGACATGAAAATGAAGGAAAAATAAATTTCAGAGCCTTTGTATTACACTAACATTTGCCATAAATACACATTTTCATTTGGACTTCCAAGTGACTTGAAATGATCCTTTTCCATACCCTCACCATGCACCGAATTATCATAAAATTAAGTCACACCTTCTTCTAAATGACTTTGAATCCAGCACTCTCCTAGCTTAGTCTGGACTGGCGGTAATGAATCCAGCATTTATTTCAATTTACTTTAAACCTCAGAGCAGCCGCCACATTTGTATCTGTGAGTGTAACATTTATGTGTTCAGCAGTGACAAGCTTACGCTCTGGGCAAACTCCACAGAGATCAGAGATGCCTTTTTGCGTCACATGTCAGCCACAAAACATTTGAAAAAAAAAAAAGAAGCTCTGAATAGGTGTCTGAGGCAGGCAGAGCACACCCACCCACAGAAACCGTGAAGTGCCAATCTGATTCTCTCAAGGCGCTATCACATGTAGGACTCAGTTCCCTTGAGAGGCGAGGGGGAAAGTGATAGAGGTAGACAGATAAAGAGACAGAGATACTGTAGATGCATGCATACAGAGGCTCAGGAGACTTCTGTGGCAGAAATAGCAAGGATTCATACATTTTAAGCCTGAAGCGGACCTCGCAATGGAAAGAATGCAAACAAACCACAGTTTATGCACTGGTGATCTGTCTCTTTGCTGCATTGAACTTAAGGCGCCATTGGCTCTGCAACTAGTGTTGTTGTAGTGAAATTAAATGTATGGATTTGGATGTCTAATTAAAACAGGCTAAACTGAATTGTCTTTAGTAGAATTGCACATAATATTACCTTTAAATTGAGTAGAGGGGAAACAAGAATGTGCTCTTTTGATAGACTTGTTAAAATAGTTTTTGGTTTGATTTTTGTTTATCTGTAATCAGGCTATTCAAAACACCAAAGGTATATTTAAAACACTGCAAACACTATATCTGGTTTTATTAGTGATTTAGAGATAGTAAATAAGGTAAGAATAGTGATAATGTAAGGCCCAGATCATACAGCAGGTTAAACAGGTGTTATAAGCTGGATGCAACGGCATAATCGTATTTTAGCACGTATTTGATGTATATGAATGAGTTGTGGGATTGAGGTGCGTAAACCCTTCCAAAGGGCTGTAATAGTTTGAGTAATGGCGCATTTTACAAGGCTACAAGAAGGCACAATAATTAATTTGAGTCTGCTTGAGAGGCTCATACTTACTTGCTCCCACCAAGAACACATCGCTGCCAAAAAGCAACAGGACCACGGAGTTGACAAAAACAAGAAGACGAGCCATGCCTTGGTGGATGTATTTGCTCTTCTTAGATTAATGTTAATATTTTTTTTAATGCAAATCTCCTATTATTGAAGGGTTACTAAATTACAGCAGTTCATCTTTTTTGCAACGTGTTGGAATTCCTCTCATGAATGGAGGGATGAGTGAATGAGCTCCTGCTCCTCCTGCTGCTTCTAGCTGAATCGGGCTCGATCTGGTCAGTAAACAGATAACCTGTGAAAGTACGTAGCGAGCCGCGTCCTCAGAGACATGTTGTCTTCATTCGGGTTTTTAATCCCACAAGTCCTTCATCCATGTTCCCGTGCGAACCGAGACCGAGTCTGCTGTCCTTCTAAAGCTGGCGGTTGAAATCGTACACCATCACCACCGACCTCCGGATCATCGATCATCCGGTGAGCTCAGGTACGAGCAGGTCGCCGAACAATGTGATGCTTCACAGCGGGGTCGCCGGTCCCCCCACGGCCCAAGGGGACAGCGAGGGGCTATTCAAATTCAGCACCATGGACAGCGCCTAAGTTTTCCAGTTTCCGCCGAGCCCTCACGCTCTAAGGTTTTTTCCCCCCCCCTTATCTTCTTTTTCTTTTTTCCTTTCTTTTCTTTTCTTTTTCTTTTTCTTTTCTTTCTTCTTCTTCTTCTTCTTCTTCTTCTTCTTTTTCTTTCTTTCTTTTTTTGAACTGTTTACAGCTTCGGACCTGTACGTGTTTATTCACGCACGGCACGCGGGGCTGGTCATCCTGCGGACCTTTTTTTTTTTTTTTTTTTTTTTTTAAAAGCCCCCCCCACCTCTCGCTCTCTCCAAGTAGCCAATGAGACCAGCGATGTTCCTAACACTTAGCTCTTCTGCCGAAGCGCGCGCATTGCACTGATTAATCCTCCACGTGTCATCAGAGGAGAGGAGCAGCTGCACGCCTACCTGTGCGCGCACACCCTCCTCCAGATGCTTTAATATTTCAGCAGCAGTGCCAGGGGCTAATGTTTACCGCAATAGGCTGGCCTGTGCTGTGAGGGAAGCAACAGGGGAGTGAGTGAATGGCAGTACAATGGGACAGACAGCCTGTCCTCCCGTTCTTTCACATGCACTAAACCGCTGATCATAAATACCGGATGATTAGCATTTCGTTCCACCATCCAGCTGCAGCAGGTCGATGTGCCTCTCACCCACCGTACACTGCACAGCGCCCTAAGACACGCCAAACAATCAGGAAGATGAATCACGTTGATAAGCTGAGTGCATTGCCTCATGGGACGAGCGTTTCAAGGCAGATTGCTTATCTACGGGGAATCTGCCAGCCGCACGCAGGGCTACTGCGGTCTTTATTCAGACAAGAGGCAAGAAGTCATCAAATATTTGGGTTCTTGTTACTGTAAAGCAGGGGACGGGTGGCAAATCTTTCAATTACTAGGAATAAAGAAGTAAAATAACACTTACTCACGTACCCTCTCGAAACGTAATCGTGCGTTTAATTCTTTTTCATAACTCTGCCAACTAAATTAGCGCTCTTAACCTTTTAGTGTCCAGTTTTCTGTGAGTCTGAGCAGACGGATGCGACGTTTTAGATATTAGATATGGAGTTGCCATGACAGCTGTCTATTTGTGGCCGGCATTTATCTTCATGAGAGCTCAGAAAAGTGGGTCTATTGTGGTTAGCACTCACTGTATTGACTGTATTCTTTTGTGAATGTTCCCTCAGCATGAAAGTCAATATAAATATAGATGTTTGATGGTAAAATTGAGGACTCTGTGATGAGGCAGAGGTGTGCTGTTGTTTTTCTTTTTCAGCTTCTGCATCAAGCTTAACTTCTTTTCTCTATAGTGTAATAAAAAAGTTTTTTTTTATAGATGTAAAGATTAGTTTATTCAGACCAGTTCTATCTACTATTACAGCTTCAGTGTAAGACTGGAAGTCAGGATAGTTTTGCAGTGATTTGTAAACAATGTACCAAACCTCCTTTAGAGTCTTTTACATAATTTTCAGAGAAGACAGAGATGCTGCTTCACACCAAGCTGTGTCTTACTGTGCTATGCTGGGAATTTCTATTCTTTACCCCCCAAAATCCCCCCTGCAGCCTTTATTTAGTAAGTAAGGAGGTAAAATTTATTTATATAGCACTTTTTAAGACAAGAAGCTATTACAAAGTGCTTCACATGAGAATGTAAAATCATATCAAACAAACAATATAAAGGAAGTATAAAAGCACTACATATTACACACGAACATTACCCAAATGCCTGTCTAATCAGATGTGTTTTAAGCTTTTTTTTTTAAAAAAAAGAAGCCACAGAGTTGATGGTGCATAGCAGGGGAGGTAAACTGTTCCACAGTATTGGAGCTAGAGTTTGAAAAGTGTGATCTCCCTCCGTGGAAAAGATAGAAGACCACTATTAGTGGATCAAACAATCCACTTTGGAGAGTGTTGGAGAAGCTTAGTGATATAGGTGGGGGCCTCACCTCGTAAAGACATAAATGCAAAAGTGAGGATTTTAAACTTATATCTCTACCCAACTGGAAGCCAGTGCAAGGATTTTAACATGGGAGCGATATGGGAGAATTTATTAATGTGGGTTAAAAGCCTTGCTGCAGCATTTTGGACTACTTGGAGGCAATTTAAGGAAGCCTTAGACAGACAGGAAAAGAGTGTGTTACAATAGTCTAACCAGGGGGAGATGAAGGCGTGGACAAACATCTCCAGTTCAGCTTTGGAGACAATAGTCCTAAATTTGGCAATATTTCTTAAATGAAAGAAGCAGGAGTGGGTCACTGATTTAATATGAGAGTCAAAAGACAGAGATTGATCAAAGATTATCCCAAGATCAATCTCGAGCCACTGCTCGAGTCCACTAAAATGGATCTCAAATAAAATTATAAAATCCAGAGTGACATTCCAGCACAAGCTTCACTTAGATTCACTTTTAAACATCTAAAAATAGCCGCTTGGCATCTTTCTTGGCCTTCAGACAACATTTCTGATGGCTAAAGATCCAAATGGGACAGGCAAAAAACAAAACAAAACAAAACAAAAAAAAAAACATCTGAAAACAGGAGACAATGAATAAAAGGAATTAGATCCCAAACAGTTGAATGTTTAATACTTGGTGATTTGGATTTTATTTAATCTATGGCAGTAGCTTCCTGCCTTTAAAAAATGTTACTGTCTCCTGTAGTGACTTTAACCCATCACAGGTGAAATGAAATCATGCTTTGTGACTTGTTTTATGTAACCAGTGCCAACTTGTGCAAACTAAGCCTGTTTTTGTGTGACTTGGGCCCCATCTACAAATTATGCCACCAAAAATGTTCACACTTCACTGTCATACTGTCCTTCCACTGATACCTCCACTGGTGTAAATTCATTTTTCAGATGAGCAGCGTCAGTCAGAAAGGTGAAAATCAAACTGTGTTTTCATTAATCTCTGTGGATTTCTGAAATGTGCAAGTATGAGTTTGACTTGCCATTTTCCAGGCAGTCAATCGTCATGGTTTAACAAGTAAACGGGACTCTTGTTAACCACAAAATATTTTTATATTTTTTCAAAATTACTTTCAAATTAGTTGTTTAAAATTGCAATTCTGACTAGACTTCACTAATGTTGGACTTAATATATTAAGTGCTCTAAACTGTTTTTATCTTCTTGCTTAAACTTGAAAAATTCACTGTGAGTGCATTGTACACATTTCCAATGTAAATTAAAATTTACAGTATACTGTGAATGATTACATTATGAGGTGAAGATCAGTGTTGGCAACTCAGTTGGTGGAATGTATGTGCTGTACAATGAAACCGTACTTTGTAGTGATGATTCTTTTGCTTATAGGTTACAATGAAGATAAAAAAAAAACCCTACAAAATCAGACCCAGGCAACCATTTTAATACTATTTGAGCTTTAATAACTAACTTCACAGTTCATTTGTCTTGTTGATCGTCATTCACACTGACTGCTTCTTAGTGTATATTTTCAAACTCATTATGAACTGTTGACTGTTTTCTGTCTACTCTCCGAACTTGTGGTAAACTCACTGAGATTCATTCCTTATACTCTGAAGAAAGAAAAAATGGCTTTTACAAACCTCTGGCAGTATTTTTGTACCTTCACGTAACCAAAACATCTTTTTATGCAGGTGGTGTCTTAAAAGGCTCATTTTAATAAATGCATGAAATGCAGAGAACCTTTTAAAGGTAGAAGGTCACTTCACACCTTGGCTCCCTTTTGAAACCTATTTATCTCTCTCTCCTCCTCTTTACTTTGAATTCTTCTCTGTGCTATTAGGTCTACATTTAGTTGAATAAAACTTTCAGGAAGCATCTCTTTAGCATCCCGGGGTTTAAAGTCCCTAAAGGAAAGCATCACTTGACACGAGGAAGACTTAAAGTGTTAATTGCTTGGTGTTCAGTGGCCAGTAAAAGGACTTTATGAGTAATGAGATGTCAGGGACTTAACAAATGACAGCAGACATAGACTCTTTATTGCTCCGCCAGGTTATTTTCAGATACTTGAAGTGTAATATTAGAAATATTGCTATGCATTAAAAGTTTTTTGGCTTGGGTATGAAGCAGTTCTAAAGTTAATGGTTATTTTGTAAAAGGACATTACAAAACACTCTATGTAGCTGTGGTAGTAAATTGCTGAATGCTATTAATAATACTTAATAGGAACACAACCCATAAATATTGCATGCAATTTCCGTCTTGTTGTTTTTTTCTTCACATTATTAGAGTATGTTCTTTGGGACGCCAGTCAAAACCAATTACACTGCTAAAATAAAATAAAATAAAATAAAATAAAATAAAATAAAATAAAATAAAATAAAATAAAATAAAATAAAGGAACACTATAATCAGAGTATAGCATGTCTGTTAAACCTATGGGTTGATCAGTTTCAGCTGTTTTAGTGTTTATGAAATGAACACCAGGACTAGAGTGGCAACAATGAGACAACCTCCAAAACACGAATGGTTTTACAGGTGGAGGCTGCTGACATTTTTTCCCTCTGCATCTTTTCTGTTTTGTCTTTAGTTTTGCGTTTGGCTAGTGTCAGTGTGCCTAGTGGTAGCAGGAGCTGATACCTGAACCCTACAGAGGTTGCACAGGTAGTTCAACTCCTCCAGGATGGCACATCAGTTTCTGTAGGAAAGCTGCATGGGGCAGTGGAAGGTCCTTAACCAATCAAGAGGACTGGTACCTGCTTCTTTGTGCAAGGAGGAACAGGATGAGTCCTGCCAGAGTTCTACAGAATGGCTTCCAGCAGGCCACAGATTTGAATGTCTCAGACAAAACAATCAGAAACAGACTTCATAATGATGGCCTGAGGACCCAAAAACCTCTCGTGGGCCTTATAGGGACCGTGGAGCCCAATTGGCCCTAAAATACCAGACTTGGCAGGTCCTCCACTGGCACCCTATGCTTTTCACAGATGACATGATGACAGCAGGTTCACCCTGAGCACATGTGACAGACATGAAAGGGTCTGGAAGAAGATATGGAGATGTCTGCAACATCATTTAACATGACCTTTTTGGTAGTGGGTCAGTGATGGTGTGGGTAGGCATGTCCATGGAAATTCTGACCTCCACAGGCGATGGCACCCCAACTGCCATTAGGTTGGGGAAATCCTTGGGCTGACTCATTGTCAGACCCTACACTAGTGCAGTGGGTCCTGGGTTCCTCCTGGTGAGTGACAATACCTGGCATCATGTGACGAGATTATGCAGGCAGTTCCTGGAGGATGAAGGAACTGATACCACTGATTGGAACCAATGATCACCTGACCTAAGTCTAATAGAAGGACATTATGTTTCAGTCCATCCAACACTTTCTAAGTGTTTCTTTATTTCATTTTATTTTATTTTTTGAGCTGTCTATATACATAAATAAAAACCATACAATCCTTAAAGAGAACAGATATGGTGACAGCAGGGGTTTAAAGATGAACACTGGCATTGCACTGTATTTTGAATAAATTAAGATGCCATGCATCACATTACATACTGTAAGTTGACAGCAATGTGAGTGTTTTACGTTCCAGTAAAATGTGTATGTACTTATTAGGAGTTAATTATTCTATCGATGCTCCCAGAGGTGATCGGTCTCTAGAATAATGCTCCTGTACAGGCAGAAAGTCTGCGAGAACATTAAGTGGTTACATTTCAGGCCAACATTATCCAACATGATCCTTTACTACTTTTTATTGCACCAGTGCACATATAATTACATTTCCCTGTAGTTACTGGTGCCCTTGAACACGTCCACAGTGCACAGTTACCAAATACGTCTGTACATTGGTGTGGGTGGGGTTATATTTTTGCGTCATGGTTTTACTGTTTCCTACAGTAAATTAATTGACACAGACTCATATATCAGGAAAAATAATAAATCTAGGAGATGGTTTCCTAAATCCGTCCCAGTCAATCCAAAGAAAGGAAGCAGACAGTCATAAATTTTACCCCCTGTGTGCCCATTTCTTTTGTTTTTGGCTTCATCAAAGAAAATTCCATTAACAGCAGTGGTCTGTGCATAAGCCTTTATTTGAGTCAGCTTGTTGTGTAGATCTTTAAAGCACAAGCTGCTCTCTTTTCTTCTCCCAACCCCTTTATAAAAATGTTTTTTGGTGCCTGATACTAGCTTCCAATTTAGACAGAAAAGGTGGATTTTTCTTCTCCAGATCATTGAAAATATGAATAGAGTCCTTCTCAAGGACACTGACATCAGCAGTAACAGCCTTATATGCCACATGGTTTTACTATGCATGAAAGCAATCTCACTCACTCAGACACTCTGAAAAATGTGACACTTTTAAAAACTATACTGGCCAAATGGACTTTCAGCAGAGTTCATCAGAGCTGTTACATAATATATCAATTGTCTAGGTCATGAACAGTGCAGAAGACTGCTCGAGTGACTGAAATGTAATGGAAATAATGTGCATTTATGAGTGGAAGACTTAGATCACTTGCCTAGAAGTCATTTATGTCGATGTTGCAATACATAGTTTCCTGTACCTTTGCAGTTTCACAGTTGCCACTGCTATGGTTCTTACTTTAGCATACAACCTTATCATTGTTTTTAAAAACATTTTTTCTATGAAAATAATATAAAATTGGATTCTAAGAAGACAATTCTTTTATGATAATAATACTTTATCAATAAAGTCAATACAAGGGATTCTTGTGTGGGTGCAGTTCAAGAAGCGATGCATCACTGTTTCATTTACACAGGCAAGTCATCCAGTTTCAGCTTATATTAATAAGCTAGTTATATTTATACATTTAGTTATATTTATATTTAGAACACTGTCATGAGATAACAGCTGTGAATTATATTAACTGACACCACTCTTGGTAAGTAGGTGTTTTCTTGGTAAACACCACAAACATTTCCTGTATCTTCTTTTGAAAAGTACAGCTCCAAAAAAAGATACAGGATATGGAAGCTATTTGTGATAATAGTTTCTGACAGTTTGCCTCGTTTCTGATGAAACAGGAATCATTTAGGACTGCCTTTGTCCTTCATGGCAGTTCCACAAGGTGCTAGAAGCATTCCTCAGAGACTTTGGTCCATGTTGATGTGAGAGAATCGCACAGGTGCTGCAGATTTGTTGGCTATGCATTCATGATGTGAATATCCCATCACAGCACAACACAAAGGTGCTCTGATGGATTGAGATCTGGTGACTGTGGAGGCTATTAGAGTGTAATGACATGTTTACCACTTTGAGATGATTTGAGCTCTATGATATGGTGCCTTATCGTAATGGAGCAGCCATCTGAAGATGTCTGCACTGAAGGCATAAAGAGATAAACAGGATCAATAGGCATCAGTGGGCTGTGGCATTTAAATGATCACCAGTTGGTACTAAAGGGCCCAAAGTATGTCATATCCACCACACTATTACACCACTAGAGGCAAGATTGACCCATAGTTTCATCTTGTTTATATCAAATTCAGTGGCTAGATTTTGGAGAGCAATGCAGTGTGCTACTTTATAGAATCTGTCCATGATTGATGAGATGACTGCTTACCATTTTAGGCTGAAGCAGTTGCATGCTGCTCTTCCTGGCGTTTCAGGTGCAGACTGTGCAGGCTGCTACCTGAGACATCTTTCTCGACATCTTTCTTGAGTGTGTCTCACCAGAAATAGTCTGAGAAAACACATTCTACTTACCCCAGGGTGACTGGCAAAGTAACAGTGTGCCCCCAGTGGATAACAGTGGAACAGGCTGTGGTAGGAACATAGCGATGGGGTGTCAGTCAGGGTCGTCTGACAGGACACGCTGGATGGTCTCCTCCAAATCCCAGGTTAGAGCTCGAACAGTACAGGATGCCGGCAGGATTTGTCCAGCTGATCCAGCTGACTGCATTTTCTGAGAACTGGCATGAGAGAGCATCTGGCTTGATATATATTGAACCTGGGCGATAGGAGATTTTAAAGAAGAAAAAACAGAGACCAGCAAGCCTGCTGAGGTGATCGGCTCCTTCAATTTGTAAAAGGCCGTTTCGGAATCTGGGGACCAATCTACCTGACTGTAGTTCCAGATGCAGCAGCAGAAATTGGTGAATCCAAGGAAGCATTGTAGCTTTTTTGTGAAGTCAGCATGAGCCATTCTGTGACTGCGTGTCTGTCTTCATCTGCCCCCCTGCTAAGATATAGAGCGAAAATGTGATGGATGGTGAGTGAAACTTGCACTTTTCATCTTTGACACAGAGTCAATTCTCCAGAAGCTGCGGTAGTACACTGCAGTTGTGAACTTGGTGCTCCTGCAAGGTCTTAGAAAAAAATCACAATGTTGTCAAGATATACGACGACTTAACAAATGATTTACCAGTGCCTGAAATACCGCAAGAGCATCTGTAAGTCTAAAAGGCATGACCAGGTACTCAAAGTGTCAGAGAGCTGTATTAAAAACTGTTTTCCATTCATCACCCTCTTGGATGAGGACCAAATGTTCCATGGAGGGGTTCAAAAGTGGAGCTAATTAGAGTGGATATTTATTTTTTACTGTGATGTCATTGATCCCGCAAAAGTCTACATGGTCTGAGAGTCTTATTGTTTATCACCACAAAGAAAAAAAAAGCTCCTACTGGGGAAGAGGATGGGAAGAAGAGGACAGGTGGACGATTCCTGCAGCCAACGATTTCTAGCTGTATTTCTCCATCCTGCTCCAACCATGACAGGTTGTATAAGCAGCTGGAGAGAGCAGGTCACCAGGAAGAAGGTCGATGGTGCAGTCATGGCCTACAGGAGGTATTCAGCAAAGACAAAGTGTCATCTTTGTCCCCTATGACAGCACCATCGACCTTCTTCCTGGTGACCTGCTCTCTTCAGCTGCTTATACAACCTGTCATGGTTGGAGCAGGATGGAGAAATACAGCTAGGAATTGTTGGCTCCAGGAATCATCTACCCGTCCTCTTCCACCTGTCCTCTAGGAGCTGGTTATTTCTTTCTGATGATAAAAGATAAGACTCTCAGACCATGTAGACTCATGGCAATGGGAAAATCCCTGTAGGTCAGCAGTTTCTGAAATACCTGTCATATGATTGACTCATTAGGTACCAGTCGAACAGTTGCACCTAACAAAATGACTGGTGAGTGTTTGAGTGCTTTGATTAAGTATTGATTTAATAATTTGGGGGAAGAAATTAGAAAAGTCTTAACACAACACTTGGGATTACATGAAAATTTAGGGCGATATCTCTACAGCACATAAGACACAACTTAATTAGGAGAAAGAGAAGCAAGCGTGTAACACATCACTTCCTTTTAAAGCGGTGGTGGTGAGCGTGATACTGTAGCATAGACTATCATACGTTTCCACACATATACCTGATAGACACCACGTAGGTCGCAAATCAGACTTATCAATGTAACATCAGGGCAGAGAAGCTATTATTTACATATACGTATACATGACTGGCACAAATGTGTTGCCTTATGTTTAAATGACTGTTAGTTACAACAGTTTACCAAAGTAGTTGGAATTGAACAATCTGTTTTGTTTATTGTAATAATGCGACGATATCACAATGTACATGGAAACAGCATCAACCTTTGTAGGCCTGTGCGCTCGTCTGCTGTCATAACACCCCCAGTTTTTACTGGGGAAATATTGTCTGTATTTGAACCTGTTTTGGCTGGGGTGTCTTGCTGTATAATGTTGCAATCCCTTTAAAGCTTTAGTCTGATTTTCACCTACTTGTGAGGGAAAATGTCTGACCCTGGTTCCTTTATGTTCAACAGCTAGTCCCAGGCTTTGTCTTTCTGCCTCTGTGCTGACAGTTGAGTTCTTTTATAAGCTTCTCGTTTGCTGCGGTTGTAGTCGGTCATCTTCTTGCTTTGGGTCTGAAAGAAAAATTAATGTGAAAGCAAACAGTGCTCTCCAGAACTGAGAGGCTTTTAAGTTAATAGTTCTTCGAGCAACTGTGTTTGCTGTACATGCAGCGATTTGATGGATTTAACATTTAAAAATTAGCTGGATTTGTGAGAAAACACAAATCCGAGCATCTTCACCATTGAGTGATGTTACGTGAATACGCTCTTGAAATTGAGCTTCTGAATGTTGTAAATGGCATCGCAGAGATATAGTATAACATTAGACATATTTTTCTTCTGCATACACGAGAAAATGGCCTGTTTATCTCACTTCTTGACCTCGTGCACAGCAAGTTTTTACAGATTCATTTCATGCCGCACGCATGAAAAGAGCTGGGCTTCTTTTTCAAAGTATTACACATTAGTTGTTAAACAGCCCGTAAAATTAGGTAATGTTTCAGGAGAGAGATGCAAGTCATTATTTTTTCATAGGTTTAATCAGAGAACACAAAATAGCTGCTATTGTGAGAGAGCAATTTCAGTGAAATTCATGACTACATCCATTCACCTCTTTTCTTATCTGCACTTTCTTATCTATTCTGGTAAAATGTTCTGGAAACATCGTCTGTCACGGGTTCAAGAGCCCTCAATTCTATTAGAGCGAACACATTTGATTGATGGACTCCATTATTTTAATGACATCAAAGCCCAAGAGAGAGACCAAGAGAAAACATGTTTATGAGGAGCATAATGCCAACTAAACACCACTGAAAACATTATTGGAAGATGAAAGCACATCTCTTTTCATCTGTGGTGATGTGCTTGTTTTTTTGTTTTGTTTTTTGTCCCAGAGGGCCATGCAGGGTTATCGCTATCAAATGCTAATGATGTGTTGCCTTCTGGGGGGATCACTCATTAATCTGTGTGCGAGCCACTGTTTCCCTTCATTATTACTCTAAGCCAGCAGTCATGCACAGGAGGAGGAGCGAGGATGATTTGGCCTTTAAACCTCTACCCCTTGCGTCTTGTCATCTTGCGTTAACATGAAGTTCTTTTCAGGGTAATGTTTCTTATCAATCATTCTCCAGTGTGAGATTTTATTAATGGCGATCCTTTCAGTTGATCGGCTGACAGACTGCTGTGTCTATGTTTGGCTTTGCCTCATAACTTAATACGCTCATCCTCAGTTGATGAGTTTATTTGGATGTTGAATAGATAATTCGTTCACGGTAAAGAGCGAAATTAACATAAAAAACAACCTAAATAAATGTGTGTGTGTGTGTGTGTGTGTGTGTGTGTGTGTGTGTGTGTGTGTGTGTGTGTGTGTGTGTGTGTGTTGCCGTGTTTAAATGTCTTTCAACACGGCCTTCAGATGCAAAGAAAGCCAATTAGAGCGACAGAGACTAAATACATACAGATGACTGTGATAGGATCAGTGCGTGACAGAATGGTTAGCTGTGTGGATTTCTGTGTAATTGCTCAGACTGATATGTGATTTATGAAGAATTTGTGAGCACAGCTGTGAACAAGGTGGAGAACATACAGCATTTGTGAGTATATTATTTTTTGGCCATAGGCAGAGCAGCATGTTGCCTTCTTTTTATTTTATGAAAACAGTTTAGGGGAAGTTGGGAGAAACTAGCAGTATGCAAATAAACCCTTTTTACTTTAAATGCAACTTAAGACTCAGTGTTGACATTTTGTTATTAAGTACTTTGATATACCAGAGCATATACAGTACTGTTTCCGGTGAGTTCACCAGGACTATTCTCAAATACCTCTATGAAAAATTTCCAGAATTTTCAAAGCTATCATGCATTATACTGTAGATACATTACAGAATGCTATACTGTGTAACACTGACATCTGCAGGATGATAGGAGTATAAAAAAACTGCAGCACTGTGCCCTGTGGCCTTTCAGTTTTTCACTTCCCACTTTAATTTTTTAAAAATACACATGTATTTGCATTTTCATATTTGATTTGCATTGTCCACAAGGTGAAAAGAGTAATCTAATTACAGAGAATAAATAATCTATATAATTGATTTCCAAGACACTGCTGGTATTAACCAGTATGAATTGAAATTAAACTACTATTAACACATTCATGCTTGCAATCATTAAAAAAAAACAACAGCAAGAAAATCTAAAACACTGATACACTGTCGCTGATGCTGACATAGCACCTGCCATATCTGATATTAGTATGCATGGGACAGAATCCATGGATCATATGAGAGATTAAAAATGTTGAAACGTCTTTGGGTCTTCTGCGAGGTTAAAGATTAATTTGTATTTATAAGGAAAAAGTCCAGTGGTCAGGCATATTAAAAACATTTCAACTGGCTTTACAGGCTATTTTAAAACATATTCAGTTTTATATTACAAATGTCAACATAAAATCACCTGCCATATTTTTTTTAAACAGACATGGCAGACATTTTTAGATATAATGCATGTTTATTCTCATGTGCTCTTATTGAATAAGATTAATAATAATGTTTTATATATTTTAAGAATACTTGAAGTTGTTTTGGTTTTTATTTACCATCACTATTATGTTAAATGACAATTTCCCTCTCCCTCACAATTCAGAGGCGCTCAATCAGCAATAACAACAAAAAGTAAATTTCAAACGGATGTATTTCAGGAGGAAAAATGTGAAGACAACTACTAACTTGGTATGTGAGACTGTTCTAGCTTTGTGGCATTTTAGGAATGCTGACGCACACTTCCTGTTTCCTGTCCATTCAGGAAATGGCAGAGTTTCACCCCTTGGCTAACACAGCCATTCCAGTCTCTTATCACTAACTGTCTGTGCTCCCCCTGGGAAGGCTCAGTTGAAGACTGCTGTAATTTAGTAGTTAGCTGCTTTTAAAGGCTTCCTATGGGTTGCCGTTCAAAATGGGGGGTATGTTCGGGTCAGTCACCCCTTTCATCATGTTAACATGATCGAAACTAGAGTTAGTAACTCAGTCTACACATTGCTGCCATTTGTTTTCACGAGGGAGGTGATGTACTTTAAAGTTCTTTTTATTTTTGTTTCATCCAGAGTGTTAGCTTTACTTACACACTTAAGATGTCAAACGTCTTTTTTAAAAAACAAAACAAAACACAAACGCTGCTATTTTCTCTAATGATCGGTGAACTGAGACACATCCTCGTTGTCTCAAACACCAAACTGTAAAAAGTGATAGTCACCACTAAAGCCCTACATGAGAAATGCTTTTTCAGCATTGTAATTTCAAATTTTTGATTTAAATACAAGAAATACCGGAGTTCTTCATTTTTATTTACAAAAGACATAAATGCAAGAATAACGTCTCTTTGCTAAGCACTTAAAAAAAAATCTGCTGAATTACTTATTTTTTTTAAAAAAAGAAAAAAAAGTGCAAAGTATTGTGCATGTAATCTCAGGGTTCTAGTTTCTGTACCATGCAAATGTTTAATCTGCAACTTTACCTGTGCTGACTTCTCTGGGTCCAGATGTTGCTTTACAACATGAGTGAACTGTATTTGTATATCCATCGTCCTATTACGCATCATACATCAGTTCTAAGAATGCAACCTTATACTCCATCGAGAAAAGGCGCTGACATGAAGCCGCGTTGCATATCTGACTGATATCCGCTACAGACAGAAGAAGCCATGAATATCTTTAACATTCACTTAGAAGGCAGGTGTGAAAAACGTATCCATCACTCTATTTAAAAGAAAAAGTATCATCAAAAAGCTATGTGGTCCTTTATCCATTCAAGTCATGTTTTTTTTAAGAGATTTCATTGTCCACAACGAAAAACATTCTCTTTTTCTGTCATCATGGCTGCATCTCATATTGTCCTTCCGTGGCAATAAAAAAGTCGTTGAGAGTGTTCTGAAGATATTCAAAAGTCGGTCGGTCGTCAGGCTTCTGCTTCCAGCACACCATCATGATATCATACAGTTCCTCTGGACAGCCGTCTGGACATGGCATCCTGTATGACCTGTCTAGACTCCTGATCACCTCTGGGTTCGTCATACCTGATGAAGAGAGAAAAAAAGCATGCGCTTTGACAGATATTTTGTAACTTTTTTTTTTTTCATAAAATAGCAAAGCAATATTTGAGCTGTTTTCTGTAAATATGAAGTTATTTCACATAACCCATACCTGGGTATGGTATTCTTCCGTAGGTGACTATTTCTGTCAGGAGGATCCCAAAGGACCAGACATCCGATTTGATGCTGAACGTCCCAAAGTTGATGGCCTCTGGAGCCGTCCATTTAATGGGAAACTTAGCACCTGATTATTAGACAAAAGGAAAAGGAAAAAAATGGAAGGAAGTTGTGTTACTTGTTGTTCACTGTGAAGGACATGTAGGTGTGTTCGCACTTGTGTAAATGTTTATTTTCCTTTTAATGTGGGATGATTAATGGGCAGGAAATACTCTGAAATAATGAGAAAGCTTTCCATTAGAGAATTTACAGATCATTCTGTCGCTCTGATAAATCTGTGGGTTCTATTTTCTTGTTTTTTTTACAAGATTTTCAATCACTGTGACAGATTTATACGTTTTTAATTCACAGAGTTAGACAAAATGTAAATACAATTTCAAATATATATTGATATTAGAATATACACTTGTATACACCTGATTGAAAATTATGGGCATTGTACTCACACTTTTATAACATATTTTAAAAACACAATATGCTGTTTTAAAAATAATTGAAGCAATCACTCTTTACTAATTTTGGTAGGGGAGGAGGGTGAGTTTCTGCTAACAGAGGAAATGACCTTCAGCTCAAAAAAGGATTTCGGCAGCTGTGCTTACATGTGAAGTGGTGATTGAATGCTATATGTGCTATATGTGCCTTTTTCAATTAAAGTTAAGCTCAGATGATTAAATGAAATCACATTTTTTCTGTTTTACACATTCGCCCTCACACGCGCACACACCAAGCAGTATATCGCTCCTGACGAGCATCAACAAGAGTGCTTTGAAACAATTTCAAAAATCTTCCTTATAATGAACGACGCACCGTGCTGCACACTCCTGTGTGTACCACCGCAGTCATAGTCACAAACCCCGTAACCCAGTTCAAACATGGTTTTACTGCTTTGCTTTTTTTGAAACAAAAGTAAATATAACGAAATCTCAGCAACTATAAGCTACGGAAACCTGCCTACCAAAAATCAGCACATACCAACTCATTTCAATAGAGCATGCATGCTGCTGCAAATCCAGAACTTGCCCGACACAATGAAACGAACGCTACAGTATTAATGCACAAGTGCAGGCTAGGAGAAGAACGCAATAGAAATAAGTAATGTGAAATTACCAATTTTAAGTGATGGTTTATTAATCTGTGAAACAAATCAAGTTATTAAAAAAGAAAATCAGTATCTTAAACAAAAAAGGTCAAGATTTCTGTGTAGACATTCTTTTTTAAAGTTTCCACTACTTAATATGATTTAATTATCTGTTAATTATTGAGCACTTTGGTTTAAAGTTAAGAATTGAATTCTATATTCTGCTGTATATTAACTAAAGGCCCTCTTGAGACATTTATCAGACACTATTGATTGTCGTCCTTAATGTTGAAAACTACAGAAAAATACATTATATAAAAACAACCTATATTAATAATAGAAGAAGGAAAACTTGGGTCATAAATTTCTAAAGGGGATGGAAATGTGTCTTCAGACAAGACGTCAGCGTTTCTTTGTGATGCGAGTGTTTCTAAAATCCTGTTTGTGGCACCGGAGGCGCGTTTACGTCAAAATTCCTTACTGCACCTTCTTGAGCCGTGTATTCTGACTCGATGATTCTGGCCAGGCCAAAGTCTGCTATCTTGCAATGCAGCGTCTCGCTGACCAGTATGTTAGCTGCACGCAGATCACGGTGGATGTAGTTCTTCTTCTCAATGTACGCCATGCCTTCAGCTATCTGGTATATCCAAAGAAATAGCAGATTTGTTAGATTAAAATGTCAATTCAAGAAATGTTGGTTTTCCATCGTAAAAACACACAAGACAACAGCACATCAGTTTGATAGGAATCTGAATGTCTTATAAAAGCCGAGCACATGCAACGAGGCCTCTACAGCGAGCTGTATGTGTTAATACTTATGTTCACATTGTAAAAAAAATGACAGTAGAGTGGGTTTAACAGGATGTGCCAACTCTCAGGAAGTCAAAAGTTTTTTGGAGGGCCAAAAGAGTTCTGGGGGAGCTCACTGTGGATGGAAAAATAGCATGATTTCCTGTCCGGATGTTAATAATTGACGTAGGGTGAGGCTTTCAAATCAGACAAGCAAAAGCACCACCACAGAAACCACATAGCATCTGCTGACAGTTTCCGTGTGTGTGATGCCAAAGCGCATAGTATATGGTACTTTCAAAATGTTACTGTAGAGCAGCAAGAATGTAAAAATAGACATTGAGGTCAGCCAGATGGCTAGTGTATTTGTTTTTTAACAAAGCATACACTCATCTTTTAATTAAAGATTAAAGTCACGCTGACTATCACAGTCAGAAGCAGCAGAAGAGACACAAATGAAAGAATTATGGAAACACTCAGAGCAAAAAGAAACGTTTTGGCATTTACAAGATTACAGTATCAGTGACTGTTATCGCTGAAAATGTCATGCACACACGATAGTTAACTGAAATCATGTAACTGAATTTCTTTATTAGAAGTTTCCTACCTGTGCTGACATGTCGATCAGCTTATTTAGCTTTAGCTTTTTCCCTTCGTCTGTTTTTAGAAAGTCTAGAAGACATCCTGCAAATAAAAAAAGAGAAGCACATATTATCTGAAACTACTGTGGTTTAATTGAAACTTCTACCTACATATCTCCTAACAGAAAAGCTCTGTAATGTTCCAGTTGTTGTTGGGGGCTTTTGGATTGGTGCACATTTTGAAAAATGAGGATACGGCAGAGTGTTTAATTGTCTAGCCGTTAGCCATAATAAGAGCCGTCTGTTCAGTCTAAAGTGAGTCAGTACAACAAGCACCAGTCTAATCAAAACCCAAACCAAAGATTTTAATATTCATTTCCTGGTGAAGTCAGTAGGTATGATATTTAAATTAGCTTGCCTTTACTACAGAATCTCATTTAGCACACCAATACACCGAACATTAAGGCCTTAAGCAATAACCATATAATCAAACAGTTGCAAAAGACGAATATTAAAAGAGTCACAAATATTGTTGTTAATGTGTTTAGATAATACATTATATTCCTCAACTTTGGGATGAATATAAAAAAGAAAAAGTGTAACATATATCTCATGTCATCTTATGTTATCTTAATGTCCACGTGTATATATTTTTATATATATTTTGGCGTAACAACTCTGCGATCGGCCCTGGCGCAGATATTTTTTTACGCCCCCACCTTGTTGTTACCGTAGCGGCTATGACTGTGAACTTCTCTATAACATTTGCCAAAGAATGGTTGCATAGTTGACGTCAACAGGTTCGCACACATTTCCGCAAATGATAAAAGCAAAGTCAGGAAGAACAAGTAATATGTTTCAAAGCATGTTTCCCACCAGCGATACGCTTCAGAAAAGGAACCAACTTTTAATCAGTTGCAATTGGGTAAAATTCAGTTCATAAGTTAAATGCTTTCTGCATGAGTAAAGTTAGGCCTTGGGTGACAAACATCTGTAACTTGTGCTATGGTTTATTTTATCAGCGATATCAACTGGGCGCCTCCCACCTTCCAGGCGCTGTGGCGCTGTGGTACACCACCAGCTGCATCGTTAGAAGGTTTGCATTTTTGCTAAATTTTGTACGTTATCAACACTCTTTTTGGTTTAGTACTAATTGGGAAATGTCAGGTATTACTGTTTTATTGAATGATACAAGTTAGTTGCCAGTTTATCAGTACTGGAATTTGTAATGACGACTGAAAATTCAAAATGTAAAGAAGAGAGCGGAGAAAACACCCTTCAGCAGAGAGCACTCTGCAACTTCCCTGTTGACAAAAAACAACAATAAGCTGATCAAATCAGAGTGAAGAGTGTAAATGATTAAATAAATAACAAGTGTTACGCAAATCTGTTTGTATTTCGTGTCTCTGGAAGAAAAACTATATTGGCTGATATGTTGGAATATCAGATTTACAAATCACCAAATGTTGGTGTTTGTATCAATCTTAAAAATCTTATATTTGGTTGGCCTATAGAATTAAGACTAACCAAAAAATTGCTCTTTGCCCACAGTTTCAAACTGCTTCCAAAAAGATATTTTTGTTTATTGGAAACACTTGTGTTGTTCGGACAATCAAGACAGCCCTTAATGCCACTGCGACTATGTTCTTTAATATTTTCAAGTAAATTGTTTTAAAAAACAATCATGAAAATCAGTACCAGATTACTTCTGTTTTAATTTATTGGTGAAAGGCCAATTTGTACTACATTATATATATATATATTATAGTTAATATTTAATTATCAGCAACTCTTAAAACTCTTCTTTGTTTCACTTACCATTGATCATAAATTCGGTGACAATAAGAATGGGCTCCTTAGTGACAACAGCATGAAGTCGTACCAGTCGGTCATGCCTCAACTGCTTCATCAGGTTGGCCTCCTGAAGGAAGGCCTCAGGCGCCATTGTCCCCTCCTTTAAGGTCTTAATAGCAACCTTCTGGGTGTTCTTGTAGTAACCTGCCAAATAATTCAAACAGAATGCTTTATAGACTTTGCCGTCTTGGTTTATTAGGTGTCTTCAAACAGTTTGATCTGTGGCTTTCCCTTACCCATCCACACTTCCCCAAACTGTCCGGCCCCCAATTTCTTCACCATTTTCACTGTCTCTCGAGGAATCTCCCATTCATCATGGGCCCATGGCTGCTGAGGGGCCATAGGCTTACAGGGAGCATACAGTCGCTGACATAACCCATCTGCCGTGTCTGCACCCAAATACGATACATTCAGATATAACAAACAAAAATCTTTTCCATCTTTCTTTGCACAAGTGATAAATATAGTTACAGAAACTATACATCTCATCTTTCATTAGATAATCCTAAAAGCATGTTTGTTCGTGCATTTCTTTTTCATAAGTTGATCTTTGAGACAACCTTTCTCAAGATCTGGCCTGCTTATCTTGTGGTTTAGTCGCAGGAGTGGAAAGACTATCACTCCTCTCACTCAGGAAATGCACAACACATCACAAGGGTCGAACTTCCCCCTTTAATTCAAAGTCACTGCAGATGTTTTAGAATTCAAAGCAGCAAGCTTAATGTGAGTCCAATTAATGCAAGATGCAGGTTTTACAATTATAAATGCTGAATTGGAAACATGGAAACAGAAAATCCTGTGCATAGATGTGGTTTCTTAAATTATACATCTCTGAAAATACAAACTTTTTGAGGGTGGAGATGTTGTATTTGTAGTTGTTACTTACGGGTATAGTATTGAACCAATTCCTGTAGGGTCGGGAACGTGTTGGAAGGGGAGATGTAGTAGCCACCTTTGTCCAAACAACGGATTTTGTAATGTTTTACTACATCTCCTCTTTCTCCTTCATAATCTTTGACTGACAGCGAGAATGACCCTGAGAGGGGAAAAAAGGACATTTGGGTTTATTGACCACAATGAAAATAAATAGAGGTAGCTGCTAAAAATGTGAGTTGTGGCATGATCTCGGAAAGATACTGATGGTGGTCACCTTTACAGGTCTCACTCTCTCGAATTAGAAAGGACCCTGGTTTATTTCCGGGTGCTAAAAGTAGCCTCTCGGTTTCTCTTCTGCCCAAATCCTTGAAAAACCATCTGCAAGAGAGAGCACCACAAAACCACAGAAGTCACTCTTCCTGAATATAATAATACAAAAACCCCGTATAACAACATTAATCAATCAATAGATGTGTGCTACATTTCATTTCATAATATTTCAAGCTTACTTTTCCACTTCCAGTGTATCTGCTCTGGCTACATAATTCGATGGTATCAAGCCTTCTTGTCCAGTCGTCAGCAGTCGGGCCAGCCACCATTCTCCGGTTCTGTACACCAGACAAACATGCCGAATTCATTTTATTTCTCTGTGCGCTTTCTTTATTGTCACTTTCACTACTGTGGGAACCATAGAACGAGACTTACTCTTGCAATACTTTAAGTTTGTCTCCCTTTCTGAAAGGCAGATCACTGTCGTTGGTCGCTTTGAAGTCGTGTTGTGCAATAAATATAGTGTCATCTAAAGGAAAGAAGAGCACAGAGTTTCTTTAAAAGTGTATTTTTAATCTAATTTTTACCTGATGTGATCCTGTGTTCTAACATGCGCAATTTGTGGCGATATTGTTTTCATTCTCCGAGCAACCGCTGTGTTATTTTACATCTGTGACATTAACATTACTTTCATGTGTTTGCAATCTCATCTAATCCCCAGAAGAGAAGAGAGGAAATTCAACCAAGATTTTGATCACAAAACTGTAGCTCTTATTACTGCCACTAATGTCTCTTAACGCAGCAGCAGTTGGGTCCGTGAATGCAGGCCTGTCACTTTCCACTATGATGGTTGATATATGCAAGGAAGTTTGTGATTACCATTATTTGTATAGGCGTTTCCACTTCGTCCCTTGAAAGAATTGGGAGGAAAAAAAGAAGACTTTGATTATGTCCAGTGTGTCAAGTAAACCTTTTGAGGTAATTAGAGTAAAATTAGTTTCACATCCGAGTAAATCTTTTTAGTGTTTTACTTACTATATGGTTTGATGACGGGGAGGCGTGTGATTTGTGTTTTCCTTTGCGGAATCCTTCTTCTTTTACTTGTTTCTCGCCACTGCAAGTGCAGCCCATCCTGCGTGTTTGGTGGAAACCTCTTTTAGCTACGTTACATGATGCTAACGTTTACTAAAATCACATATCTAATTACAGAACGCACTGTTTAGTGTAGTATCAGTAAACAATGATCCAATAAGTTTCTGGAAAGAGACTCACATAGCTACAATGTGCTTATTACTTTGCTGTTACCTGATCAAACAGATGAGCTTTACTGCTGCTGTTTTTAGTCTCCACTCCTCCCACTGCAGGGCCTGCTCTTTGACTTCATGCCCGGTGCTGAAAAATGACATCTAATGACTCAAAATTGCTAAAATGTATTTAGTGAGCGTCTCTTTAGGTGTATCGCTTGGTAACAGGTGACCCAAGAAAAATAATAAAATTGAAACAAGAAAACAAAAAAACTAAAACTGGCTCTCAAAAGAGGAAGTGAAAATGTGTTTACAGCTCTTTACCATTGCATTAGCATGTACAGTTTATGGTGGGGCTTCATTGTCATGTTCCAGTTAAAAATAGAGGAAAAGAAAACGGCTAAAAATAGCTAAAAACACACTGGTGTAGAAATGTCACCAAACTAAGTGATGGTGTTAAACAAGAACTGTTGTTTATCTGAAGCAAGTTGTATGAGGTGTTAATGTTAAAAGTTAAAGGTGTTTTTTAGATCACAAAGTCAAATATAGTTGATGTAATGTGTATTACAGAAGCTAAAGATAATGACTGCACATGCAAATACACAACACTGATAAAATAATGATGTAGCAGATTTGGACTGTGTGTGTTTTATACTGTAAGCGTAAGTACCGTATTATGAATATCGATGGTTTAATTACGTCTTAAAATGGAAAATTACACCTAAAACAGCAAGAGCAGTGCTTTAATATTCAGTGGTTTGTAATAACAAAATGTCATGTCAAGAAATGCATGACTTTAGGGAGGCTTTACACAAGCCGTTGACTTATGGATTTCACCCAAAAAAAAGTGATAATTGGAATGAAAATTAATAATAATAATTAGTCTTGAAACTTTTGCCAATTTTCTATCGCACATATTTTATCATCCACGTTATGCGTTATGTTTTGTTTAATTTGTGATGTGTTTTACCAACATTGTACAACATTATTTAAATAAAATAATACTTACACTATTATGTTCACCACTACCTCACAATATCTAGAAATTCTCAGTCCCTGTCACTGCTCTATAATGTCATATTTTCATTCAGCAGATAAATACCTTTAGCTTGTCTTTGGCTCGTGTCTTCAGAAGTACTCCAGATGCAAAATGTCTTCAATTTCCTCATTGAAAACTGAGTGCTTGTCAGTGTGTCACTCTCACTCACTCATTTTGGTTTGGAAAGTTTCTCTCTCTCTTTTGCTCTGCTCTAATTTCTCTCTCTCTCTTGCTCTCGCTCTCTCTCTCTCTCTAACAGTGAAGACCAGGACCTCCCCTTGGGGGTTACATTCAGTTTACTGGAAACAGACAGCAGTTTGCTTTTTTATCTGCTCTCTTACATTTCTCCCTTGATTCTCAGGCAGATGATCTACCTACAGAGTGCAAAAATAAGCTTCTGATTAAACTTCACTTGCAGTAGTTACTCCGCCCCAGTCCTGCAATTAGTCAGTGAGCACAACTGATAACTGTATTTCATCTTTAAGTATTAAAACTCACAAATGTATGGTCCTCAAAGTTATTGGTTAAGAAGGACTTTAGGTTAGTTATCAGTAGAGCTCGTTGTACTTCAGAATGTGTAGATGCGGTCAATGATTTGCAAAATTTGTGCCTGTGATCTTTTTTTAAAAAATGCAAATGACCTTTGGTATCAAATCAACAATGCGATGGAAAAAAGAAACGTCTGCACTGTTTTGTATTGTGTGTCTGGGTGATTGGTGTTAAATGTAGGTGTGGTGGAGTGTTGTCTGCTCAAGTGTATAAGATGCAAGATAAAGAAACAGGGCATGGTTTCCATGACACACATTTCAGTTCCTCTGCTGGCCTCTGCTACTCATATCTTTACCTTTCAGTGTCAAGAAACATGTTTACAGTAATACTGTAAAACAATACACAATTCGAGCCACAAGAGGGAGTGTTGAGCTACTAGTGGGATGTGCAACCACCCTGGTAATATACCCCTTTTATAAATTTTATGCAAGTTTTAGTGTCAATAACTGATTACTATTGTGTTAATTAATATTTTTATTGCAGTAACAATAGCAACAAATGAGGGCCTTGCAGCTCTTCTTTTGCCTATATTGCCTGATGACCACAGAAAACAGTAAAGTGTGAATGTGTATATCCCAAAAAATGCACCCAGTTTCAGTCTGTTTCCATGTAATAACAGAGCAAGATTTCACAATTCCAATTTACTGATTTACTGATACTCTTTCATTATTAAGGCTGTATGCAATAAGTTCTATTACACAGGAAACCCCAAAATAGTTAAATATAGTCATATGAAAATGTTATGCCAGCACTCTGTGCAGTACTGTAAAAAACAAACAACACTCATACGGCTTCCATAGCAATAAAGAAGGTAAAGGTAACCCAAGAGCCACATCTGAGACTCTAAATGCCTCATTCAGTGCAGCATGTTTACAAAACAACTGAATAAGTATGGCCGGTTTGAAAAGGTCACAAAGGGGAAACGCTCTTCTCTCTAAAATGAGCATTTTAGGCTTGCAAAGATGGATCTGAATAAACCTAGACTACTTAAATACTGTCTTTTCAACCAACACGACCAGCATGAACATGTTTGGCCATGATGTTTTTGCCAAACAAACCAAAGCCAAACACAGCATGTTATCACAAACGCCTCATACCACTGTCTAGTATGGCGGTTGGGTACCTTGCAGGCATCGACTCCACCATGAACTCACCGTTAAACCAAAGTATTTTAGAGTCAAATGTGAGGTCATCTGTCCAACAGCTAAAGTTTGGCTGAAACTGGATCTTGTACAATAATAGCTGGACAATGCACAGCAGCAAACCTACAAGAGTATGTCTGAAAAAATCAAGATGTTTTAGTGACCCAGTCAAAGTCCAGACCTCAAATGCTGTTACAGGATATTAAGAGAGCTGTGCATACACAAATACCTTAAGAAGCTAGTGTTAACTAATGTTTTTCATATAAATATTGCAATGTATGAAATGAGTGTTATGACAATGTTCTTTTTCACACGACTGTGTGTTGCTTATAATGACTTCTCAATGCAATACCACCAAATACTTAATAAAGATACACTTTAGGTTAGTGAGTCGAGCATCGATAGGACATCTTTCTGCTGGTATATAAAATGGTTACTGGGCAAAAATGTGGCCATAATTTAATCTTATGTTAGTTAGCTTACTTTTAATGGTTCTGATACTATTGTTGTTTATAGCACTAGTCAAAAGGAGACTTAGGTTTGGCAGTATATATTTTCTTTGGTTTTGTTTTAATGTTGCCTGCAAATAGAAGGGCATACAAGGAATTAATAGGCAGTTCTGAAATATATATAATGTCTGTTTATTTATTGCTTCCTGATGTTCCCCAGTGTTGACACTAGAGGGTGTAACCAGACTTATTCTAATCCCAGATTGTCCTTACAGTAGGTCAGTTCAAAGTTGGGGAATCATTTGTGACTAATTCTTGGCGTTTCTATGTATATATGACCTTTACAATGACATCACCTATAGAAGCATAGTGTTGAACCGTTGTGGATTCCTCTGTGTGTTGTATGTGGTGCAGGTGTGCAGATGTGAAATCGAATGCAAACGTGACTTATCTGGGGCAAAAATTTAGCAAGATGGTGTGCGGTCAGTCTATCAAAGTACAACAATGCTTGGTTTTTCACACCATAACAAAACAGTTAACCAGGTCTTTCCTTTTTTCACCACACAATGCACTGCCAAGGGAATTCACCCCTCTTCTTCAGAGTGAGACAATAAACACAAAACAATATGTCCTTGAGTTATCTAGCAGTAATTATGACCCTTTCATGTCTCCCGTGCATGCTAAATTGCTATTAAATATTGAGAATAAATCAAAGAACCGTATAAGGAAGATATCAGTCACAGTATACTGTAACCTATAAGTGCACCGAACAATAAATCTTGCAACACCGGAAGTGTTTGTTTCCTATGGGGGGGTTTATACAACACACAACGTGGGGATATTACTCTCTGGGCAACACTTCACAGGTTTTTGTTTGGACCACCTGTGCTGTGTGTGGGGATTGTGCTATGCTGTAGTTCACTGAAGGAACAACCTTGCTTCACTGTACACACATGTACACACATTTACACAAAGCAACACACACACACAGGCTGCAGGTGCATGGTGAGTGTTATTGAGTGCGTCCTGGTTACTAACTGCCGTTTCTCTTTATACTCTTTTCTTCTAGTTTTCCATCAGCCCTTGTTTTCTTCCCAGGGCTTGGCGGATGCTCGTGTACAGCTCTGTTGGGGTCCCCAGACATTGCATCCTGCCTGCAGAAGGGTCATAAGTGGCCCCACAGGATAACCTGAACAACAGTGGGAAAGAAAGGGAGCGTGGGTCTCCTTTAGTAAATGCACTTCTGACCACCTCTGTGCCAAAAGTATACATGCTGCCAATAGATACTTTCAACTCCCATTATTAATGTGAGTGTGCACTGCGTGTGACTGCAAATGTGCGTGTTTTATAATTGTGTGTTAGTGGGGGTGGGGGTGTTTTCAGAAAAGCTCTACAGTGATTTCTGTGCAGCAAGCTAGTGTTGTTTCAAATCTTACCATAGGTTTTATTTATTTAGATACACAGACAGACACACATCCACTCACACGTGTACTTTTTGTCCATTTTTGATTGTGGTCCCCACAAGATGAGTAATACCTAGATCACGCACATTCACACGCACGCACTTTCCTCAATTTTGATCCCCCTCCGCATCAGAAGTGGCCCCTCTTTGACTTCCTCTCAGTGTGGGAACCTTTTTTATCCTCTGTCACACATCGACTGAGAGAAGGTCTTTCTGTTACATTTGCCATAAAAAGACAAAGTGATTGTCAATAAAGAAGGAACAATTGAGCTCCCCCGATGTATTGAAAACCTTTTGCTGTACCTCCAGGATGTTCATGAGTTTTAGTTGAGCTTCAGTTTTCCTTGTACTATTTTCCCATATTATGCTCTTTGTACTGCAGACATAACACACCACTGGTTCAGCTGTATTATAGCTTCATTTGTCAAATTCACTGTAATAGCACTTTTAATCAGACAGTATACTGTATATAAGATAGCAGCTATAATTTGCTGAATTCAGCATGTTTATCTAGCAGTTATTTCTTCCTTTGCATATTTAAGGTGAAAATAATGCATGACTATAAGATTCTAAGTTACCAGTAGCTGCACTGCCCTTAATTAAAGGCTGCTTATGAAACTTTCAAAAAACACATGCAGTAGGATTTTGCATTAATGTACTTGGGAGCAAATCTGTGCAGCTGTTCCAGGGGCAAGTTGCTCTGAGGTAAACATAGCTGCGGGAAAACCCCTTATTATTGTGCTCCGGATGACGTTCCTCACTCTTCCAGTGTTTACTGTGGAAATTATCCTGTGCCAGCAGGCAGGTGCTTCCTCAAAAGGTCTTTGCTTTTCCAGAAGATTTGAGGATTCAGTTCATCTCAGCAAATCAAACACTCCTGCAACATTCTTGCCAGACAGTAACAAATATTTTTATTCGATAGGATTAGAATTAAATGCTGATGATATTTCGAATTGAAAACAGATTCTGCTTTCAGTGAAACTCATTTTGAAAAACAGTTGATCACATTTCCTCCTCTGTAAACAAACTGGGACTGCCCTTATCGCAGACAGCTTCCATCTGTAATCTGGAGCATGTTTAAACACATAACTATGATTAAAATGAGCTCGTTTATATAAGACTATGCTTTGCTACATATTTTAAGAAAGAGTTATTTAGTGGACACATTGATATATAATGTAAAAGATCTCTATTCTCATCCCTGCTTACTAAATGGACAAAAAATACCTGTTGGTTGCTGGAGTAGACTAATTTTTTTGACTGGTGTGGTGACATCGCACGCTTCTTGCTATTGGCATTATTTCTGCTGTTTGGTACAGCCAAAAGGCCCAAACAACACAAATGAATTGTTGAAACACAGTAAGTCAAATAAGCTCAGGTGAAGCCTAGCAAATAGCTAGCTACTTAGTCAGCACAACTGGCCACACCTCTAATAACAGAAACTTTAAGCCTTAGCAGAACTTGAATGGGTGGCGTATAATAAAAACCTCCATGTTCTCTGATACACACCCACGTTGGAACAGTGTCTCGTACCAGGTTAAACATTTTTTAATTTCAGCTATAATGCTACAGTCATGCTAGGGAAAATGACAGCTAGAGACCACAGCACAACAAAACATTTTTCTCGATGTATTCAGTGAGTGTGCGATCTTTGAAAAGGTTTGAAAAGGGGACCTTGCAGACAATTGTCGCCTTCAAAGCATCTCCGGTGCATGAAGATTGCGAAAAAGTCAGTAAGACTGAAACAGTCTGCCCAAAGCAGCTCGGAGAGCGAATTTGTTACATTACTCCTTAGATTACTTTCATGTTATTCTGTAACATGACCTTAAATGAACTATCACATAATTATCAATTAAGAACAATAAAGCTCAAGCTAACATGCGGTCACAAATCCCTATGCTAATGAGGGCACGCACAATCTTTCTTTGAGGGTTTTTAAGTTTTAACTAGTGCTGTCAGCGTTGATCTCGTTAAAATGACGTTAACGCCCATAACCGTATTAACCCTGCAAATCTCTGTTAGCGAGTTAGTGTGGATCGCCCTGTGCGTGGGGCTACACGGCGTCAATGCGCTACCGCGGTGAGCGCGTTAACGTCATTTTAACGAGATTAACGCTGACAGCACTAATTTTAACATAGAGTCGACAACACAAAGCAAAGCTGAAAACTACCCCCAAAGACACATCAAGTTGATCGCCACAGTGATTTTACAGTAGTAACATGTACAGTTAAAAATTGAGGCTGCAAGCCTGACTGCTCATCAACACCTTTATTAGCTGTTGAAGTTGAGGCTCTGGTTGCTGGGCTGGGGTCAGCATACACTGAGCTTCTAACCTAACTTCACTCTAGGTTCCTTGCTAGCTTTGCGTTAGCATGCTGTCTGTCCTTGATGCAGTTTAACATCATACTCTTGTCCTTTCTTGTCCTTTTATTGAATAGAAATAAAAACATTAGGCCCCTAAGCAATTCTTCTCATCTCCACACATGAATTGAAATTTTCTGATTGTTGAACAAGAAGAGAATGCACGTTTGATTTTTTTTTCTTTCTGTCCCCATAAACTGAAGAACCTTTGCAACCCGAGTAGTGACATCATTTTAACTGTACACACATTATTGAAAAATAAAAATGTGATTATAGTTGCACTTCATACCCAACAGTATGGGGTGCTGTTTGTAAATTGAAACATGCTGAAATTAACAGCAACATTTTTCCACAATTTAGCTGAAAACATTGGAAGATCTGTTTTGTTGGCCATCCAAAGGTTCAGCAGTAGTTCACCCTCAGCAGCTGCAGTCTCCACTTCACAATCGCCGCAGCATATGTGCAGCTAAATTGCTGGACATGCTGGTATGCAAGAAGCGAAGCAGCTCATGGTGTTGAGAAGTGACCAACAGGGAAGAGCAGGCACAAAACCTAACCACTACCAGCACACTTTAGCCCTGGAGGTTTTTGTAAAGCTTTTATTTTGGTATTTCCAACATATACAATAAATGTGCATGTTAGCTAAATATTTAGTTTCCCATAACATTTAGATTTAACACAAAATTGTGTTTTAAATATAAAAAGCTAAATATTTTAGTAAATTTTGTAAAAAGTGACTTGAAAAATATGGTTTTGTAAGGTTTTGAGCTAAATGTGGAAAAATGTTGCTGTTAATTTCAGCTTCAGTTTCAGTTTGCAAACAGTGCCCCATACAACAGTGACCATCAATGTGCAATCAGTCTGCCATCAGATTGCATTTGAATGGAGTCAAGTCGTCAATTACATAAAAGCTGTTTGTGATACTCAGCGATTAATTGTGATAAAACACTGACCTTTCAGTGTTTTATCACTTGCGATTGACTGTGGTTACCCAGAGTTTGAAGGTGTTACCTTCTTGGCTGATCCAGATTAGCTTCATTTTTCAGCCCCAGAGGATGAGACTTTGTTTTAGCTTGTTTAATTTTAGCTTAGTTGTATATGATGCGTCCACAGACCAACTTTACCATGCCACTGGAGATATTAAATAAATATTTAACTCCCTAGCAGCTAGCTATTTAATACATTTGGCACACTGGTAAACCACCGGGTAAGCAATATCCTTTATTAATCATTTATTAATCAATCAAAAAATGAAAACCCTGTTTTAGGTTCAGTGACACAGTCAAATTTGCTAGACTAACTAAATGACTCAGTAGTGTCCTGGATAGGCAGAAGCTGTGACAGTTTGTTAGCGACATGCTACACACTTGTCTGCACACTTGCCTGTCTCACTAAGGATGTGGTAAGACATGCATTTTCATAACAGTCCTACGCAGTAACCAGACTACTTGTGCTGGTCCATATTCATATTCCAGACCAGAATGTGAAAACACCCAAACACAGAAGAATTTTAAAAAGTTGTTAAGATTTTATATGCCTATTTTTATAGCAGCTAGCTTGCTGTTTTATCTATAAGAGTGTAAGCTAGTCATGGAGGGACTTTTATGTTGCACCCATGGTTTTGTATAAGTGTATGTTGCACCCATACACCCATAAAATGAAGTTCCATTTTCAATTTTTGCATACTGAGTTATTTCCCAAAGGATCACCATAGCTGATTGATATGCATGACTTCGCAAAGATTCAACACTGAATGTCCTTACTGATGCAGTCATCCCATTTATTTGGGCTTGCAACCAGCACTAGTAGTAGTTAGCTTGAGTAGGGTAGTATCTGAGATCTTTTGCAAGCAAGATGAATGTGTTAACCACTACACCACAGAAGCCCTCGTGTCTGTGCAAAGATAGAGGGGGGAAAAGCAAACAAACTGCACTCCACATAACTGCACTTGTGAGTGTTGCTTTGTAGAGCAAGGAACTCTTGGACACAGATGGCACGTGCACCTGGAATGACTTAAGAGAGTACAAGCTATATTCTTATTTCAATTAGCTAGATGGAAAAGAGTGCTGCAAGTGACAGCAATGATCGACTGCAAATGGAAACACTGAGAGAGGCACATCCATCTGCTCTGTTTATCAGCTATTGCCAGTTACCAAAAGTTTATTCTGTTCATCTGGATGTAGCGTTTTCAGTGGGAGAAACGTTTCGTCACTCATCCAAGTGACTTCTTCAATCTCAGCTGACTGCAAGTTTCCCCAAGCTTAACACAGAGCCATTCCCCAATTCTCTGTGAATGGTACTCATGGTCATTGATCAGTGGGCTTTGATTAGTGGTTGTTGATGAATGGTCATGAGAATTTGCATAATTATGATTAAGGAACTGACCTCCTAGCCCATTGTTCCTTCAGTGGGCTGATTTCAGTCATGATGCAAATGTACTATATAGGGCTGGATCAAGTGACCATGTAACCCTTAGTTACTCAGCAGTAGGCCTAGACTGCTGGGGCTTCCCATGATGCACAGAGTGTTTCTTGTTCACTCACCTTTTTCACTCTCACTACTTTGCATTTAATCATTAGTTATTATTAATCTCTGGCTCTCCTTTACAGTGTGTCTTCTGTCCTGTTTTTCCCCTCAACTAATCACAGCAGATGGCTGCCCCTCCCTGAGCCTGGTCCTGCTAGAGGTTTCTTCCTGTTAAAAGGGCATTTTTCCTTCCCGCTGTCACCAAATGTTTGCTGATAGGGAGTTATTGGATTGTTGGGGTTCTGCATTAGAAATAGTCTTAACTTTACAATATAAAGCGCCTTGAGATGGCTGTTTTTGTGATTTTGTGCTGTGTGAATAAAATTTTA